AGAAAAAGGACAAACGTGAAAAACAGGAGATTGAGCCGAAAATGTTTGAGGTTGGCGCTTTGTCAGTACATTTACTCGTATAGGTTTGACCTAGACCAACTTAAAATTAAGATTGTTTAGTCGATCCGAAATATCATGCCAAGCGATCCAGATCAGGTGGAGAAAGAGAAGAAAATGGAAGACATGTCGAAATCAGATTCAACCAAAACGCCCACACCACAATCACTGACTGGATTGGCAAAGTAAGTGAAACTGATGAATGAGCCATTTGGAGGAACCTTGCTTTTGGGATTCCATTACCATGATGACTTTGCTTTCATTTTTTTATTCGAGACGTAATACCTAGGAGTGTATACATCGGTGTATGCAACTTCGCGAAAGCCGAAGAACAGGTTACAAAGCGCTCAGATTTCCGCGTTTATCACCAGGTTAGGATGGACCTAAATGGGAAAGACACAGTGATGGTTATGGTAAGGATAGCGTCGATTTCAGTTGGCTCACCGACCACTCCTGGATGATCTGGAGCAGGAACTACCATTGATCGTTGTTTACAGGACTGCTAATGGCTCCTTCAGGTACGAGTGACAGAGATGCCAGGGTAGTACATAGTATAGAGACCTACCTACCCTTTCAGACATTACCCAATACGACGACGGAAGGTAGGAACATCTTCCTACTATTATGTTGATTATGGAGATCCTAAAGTCCAGACACATGCCTCCCTCGACCATCTCGTCCGTTATTATCAGGTAGAGTCAAAACCCAAGTATGTATTTGCTTGGTATGAATTCCTTCTTACAGATTAATGCTCAAAGGCATCCCGAAAATGGCCAATATGCTGATCAGTTTCCATGGTGGGAAGTGCATTTGTAAAAAAGGCAACAATGAGCCAAAATCAACTAGATTTCATCAACTAATATTCAGCTTTTGTATTCGTACCTACTCATCATTTTGTATTTCATATCGGCGCTTTCTAATAAAACAAATTTGATAGCGTTGTTCAAACTGAAATGACCAAATGATTATAAAAGTTTCAAAAAATTAATCATTCAGTCTTTGGAAAACCCACTCCTCACTACACCTCCATTTTTTATACCGCCCCAAAAAATTGCTTTAAAGCGAGGATCGACCAAAAAAAGCTCTACAACAAAAACCAATGACCTGAGTAGCAAGTACCGTACGCTGGACCAATGTTGGTATCAAAATCGAATTATAAACATAGATGATGTATGTTACGTGAAGAATCGAGAGGGCGATACGAAGAACATTTGGTCGCTTCCACGCCCATCACGTCCACCATGAACGCTAGACCACTCTCCTACCTACAGTCCCTAACCACTTTCTTGATTCCGGGACGTATTTAAACAGAGTTACGGACTTTCCGGGAGGGTTTCTCATCTGATAGCATGCTCTCTCCACCGAAGATGGAGCTTTACTCGAATCAGATACTATCATACTTTAGGCCTTGCTCATTTCTTCATATTTTTCGCCACTCCGCCTACCTGCGTTTGCTGATCTAGTGTTGTGCCCTTCTCACCTCAAATTGGAACCTGTCTCTTCAGGCGCATATTCAGGTAATACCGAATTTTGTGACAGAACGAAGACTGGCAGACGCAGGCGCCGAGCCTACGAGCACATTACATCCACTCATCACACCAAAATGCCCACGACAACAAAATCTTTCGTTAAAATTCCGTTGCTGTCGTATATGGCAGCACTGCTTTCTCTTACCCATGTCAGTTAACCCTTTGTCGTGCCGTTCGGACGTAGAGGTCGGCCTGGTGTGGCGCGCCCTCGGTCCCGCCGGGAAGGCACCGTACGCTGCAGAGAGCTAGAGTTTGCCTCGTGGCAATGGGCTCTAGCCACTATGCGACGATTGCATCATCATTCGTCGACGACGTCATCGTCGTAGCCCCCTGCGCTTTCCCGTCTTCTGGTGCTAGTCGACGTCAACGCCATCGGTGAAGCCCCAATGGTTCTTGTAGCACCGCACTGTTGCCATCTAATAGTGGTGCCGTTGCTGCTGACTATGTCGCAAGCAAGGATCATCAGGATGAATGGTCCGCAGCCATGGAAGGACCTTGGAGCGTCAGTGCTAATAAGTGGTTGGGATGACTTGGATGGCCCTCGATGAGGATTAAGCAGGATCTTACTCAACCGTAGTTTGTTATGGGTATTTTCTATATCTTTCCTCATAATATTATTCCTATCGTCATTTCCATATTTTCTTGTATTTACCCGCACTTCATTTTATACGTGGTTTTTTCATAAAACAGGGTAGTTTATAATGTGTGCTTTTCGTACGGGAAGTGAGGTAATATACACATATCGTGACCCTCATGGCTAGCAGGGATGGGCACGTGGCCCGTGGTAGGACCGAGGGAGCTCGGCGCTGGACCAGCAACCTCCTTAGCGTACTGGGGAGGCAGTACTAACTCGTAGGAGCTCGCAAGGGAGACTGGGGCAACCCAGGCCTACTAAGTCCCTGTGGCAGTTGAATACGAGCATTGCCTGCAGGCAGAAGACCCCGGGCACCTAGCTAACGCCGCTGGGGTCGCCCTGCCGAGCAACCATCGATGCGGATTGGTTTTGGCGAGACGATCCTGATGGCGGGACACCCTCTATGTAAGGTCGCTCGGCTCTCTGTAGAGAATCTGTCCGGTAGCTGTCTTGTTGGAGAGAAGGCGTAGCAGACCTCAACTCCAGCCGAGCTCAATGCTCATGCCGTGACTCGAGCATTAAGCCCAACACGATGTTAAAGGTGGCAAGGGGGTGGGAGGAGTCTTTGCTGAGCGATTCTTCAGCACTACGCTTTGTCCTGTCTGTTTTCATAAGAATCCCACATTTCAAGTTTATCCCACGACTTTTCGAACATTATGCCAGGCAAATTTTAAATTGTGTCACATTAGAATGATTTCTATCAACATTTAATCTGAGTAGTGTGATATCCAAACGTTTATCATTCGAAAATATCTTCAAATCAGTTAGTGATCTTTGCGTAGTGGTACACAAGTAAACCTGTAATGAAAATGGATTGGTTTCGTTTCTGTCCCAAAATCGAAAATATCTGATTTTAAGATCCTAGAACTAGTTGAATTGCGATAATACGGGTGGATTTTGATCACCACTACCACACAAAAGTAACGGTTGGCACGAATTTAAGCAATGTTTACTCCTGTCAAGAAAAAGCACGACAGTATGACTAAGAAAAAGCATGAGAATAGGACACAATATTTATGGTATTCTTCAATTCGCTCATGTGTTCGACAATTCATATTTTCTTCTCCCTCTCTGGAAGAGATTATTTAAGAATTATTTTTATAAACATTGCTGCTTACTTATTGGAATGCTCCTCATGATGATATATTCTCGTAAATGTAGTTGGGGGGGGGGGGGGGGGGGGGGGGNTAGTCCTTGTTATATTAGCACTGTATCGATTGCGAAGAAGATGATGGGAACCGACCATCTGTGCTCTTTTATGCGGTTTTAGCTAAGGAAATTTAGTTCACCAAATAAGCCTAGGTAGGGTAGGAGCACCTGGGTGGCTGAGATGATTACCTCATGCGAAAAAAAAGAAAAAATGAAAGAAAACTTGCCCGCCGCGGGCTCCTTCCCTACGGAAGCCCTTATTTAAAAACTGGCATATCCGTGATATCAAACGTCTTAACACGTTTCATTGAGTTCATTTCTTGATATGCTAGCCTTTGAATGGGTGCCCCCCCCCCCTAAATACATTTTCACTCTCGTGGATTACTTCCCGATCTATCGTAATCTTTCATATGTCTTCCCAATATGACTAAATGGATTACTGTAGCAAGTTACAGTCAGCTAAAAGCCTTGCTGTTTACAGCCCCTCTATGACAGCTCCTGCTCGTTGCCATTTTTCCGCATTCGCTCTTGGGTAACTGGGTTCTATCGACTTCTGTAAATCACTCAGTAGCGCATCAGAGTTTCATCATGAAATGGGTCAAAAGTTTCGGGTAAACGCCTTCCCATCCTCAAATTCTTCGTGGCATTTGTGTGCATCCTGAGCCAGACCTTTTGTGGAATAGAAGTCAAAGTGCTGTTTACATTCAATGTTCACTCCCGTTGTCTGTTTTTCGGGAAGCAATTCACGTAACACCAGATGCTGTAAGCCAGAACTTTTGTGGAATAGGTGTCAAAGTGTAAAGATGCCGTTCGAGCTGTTATTCTCCAATCAGATGCAGGTTGAGTTCACTCAAAATTTTGGCCGTCTCATGAATCTTACCTATCATCGAGGCTGGACTGACATCCTAGCAGAAGCATTGTGTGTGCTTTTCCTTCTGAAATATACCTTTTCGATTTCCATACGAAAACAGAATGATAGCTGATTACATAGTTTCAGCTCCTACTTACACTCTGAAGGATTTGTCATCCGGTCCTGCTACTTTCGTAGGTGTCTCATCTAAAAGACATGGTGTAACAGTGAACTTGGAATATCCAAGTAACACGTTTCTTAATAATAAAACGTGGAGACAGTTGCTATAAAAGCGACATATATGTGCGAAGGTAAATGATGGCATACCACGTGCAGTTTCACGAGAAAAAATCCGCTTTGGTCTGATCTAAAAGACGCCTGCTACCCTCATGTTCTCATCGATCGACAGAAGTGAACATCTGTGAGTAACCAGGTCTTCTTAGATCGAAGAATGCGCTATGGTTAACTTGTTTAACAGCAGCAGTATAACCACACGGCTTGGATATCGAGGGGACAGCAAGGAGGAAGAAAGTCCCAGTTCGTCTTCGTCATCCACTCTGGTCACTGAAGAGCCATGAGATCTGTTTTTGCACAAGCAGGACCTGCATTCAGCTCCATCCGAAGCATCGCAGAAAGGTTGATGTTCAAGGCCGTTACACCTGGGAGGAGTCTATGGATCCTTACCTTCTTGGCCAACTAGAGGCGGATCTATCCATATTCAGGTAGGTATCAAATAGATGAGTTGGGTGGTTGCTTCATCTCGGAATGAAGACGTTATCCATGCACTCACGATTATTCTTGATAGCAAGGGAATCCATCAGTGAGTGCTTTTTCCTAGCCCAGAAAAAACGTGCTGAGCATTTTCAACGCACAATTACAAGAGAAATAGGCTCGCGCTCCCCATAGCAGCGTTTCGATGACCGAAAGTGCACAGTTGACGAAGATCCGATTGTATATTATCTCACTGCCCGCCGAATACTGCATCGAAATAGGAAGAAAATACCGTTCTGATTAGCGTCTGGCGGCGCTTGCTCGAGAGGAGACAAAACCTTGAATCCAATTTTGCCCTGTTTATCCACATAGACGACTGCACCTTTGTTGTTCTGTAACGTTCACCGTTCGAATGACAATTTTCTTACCATAAGGAAACTCATTGTACAACTTGTCTACACCTTTTCAAACTAAATATTCTATAATTGCATTTTTGATGAAGGGTGAAAATGTAGTTAGGGGGGGGGGCACCCATTCAAAGGCTAATATATCAAGAAATGAACTCAATGAGACGCGTTATGTCGTGTTATATCACGGACATGCCAGTCTTTACCTTTAAATAGGGGCTTTCTTAGGGAAGAAGCACCGCGGCGGGCAAGTTCTCTTTCTTTTTTTCTTTTTTTCTGCAGGAGGAGGTAATCATCCCAACCACCCAGGTCTCCTACCCTACTTAGGCTTATTTGGGAAACTGAATTTCCTCTGCTGAAATCGCATAAAAGAGCTAAGGTGGTCGGTTCCCATCATACTCTACGCATCCGATACAGTGCTAATATAACAAGGACTAACACGTTAGGCTGAGTTCATTTCTTGATATACTGACCTTCGAATGGATGCCCCCTCTACTATCCTTCGCTCCGTGTTCTTTATGCCGTTCGTTTATGTTACGCCCATTGCTGCACATCTTTTTTTTCGGTTATAAATATATCTTTCAAATGATACTCACAGCTTCCGGCTGATATCTAGGAGCAGTGAAAATGGTTATTAGCTTCCGATTGCAAAAGAAACCATAACCGGACATCATCATCTGGATTGATAGCATTTATGTTGAACAACCAGCCTTTCGAGCGCTGCAACCCACCTGGTGAGCACGAACAATCAAATCGACTCGTAACTTTTCACAACATTGGATCACGGTGTCTTCACCAAAAAATGTTGCCACCCCTCTGACTGTGTTTGGCGCATAGCTGAAAATTCGAATATGCTTTGTAAAGTAGCCATTAACACCATAAACTTTTGGCGTTCATCGATGCTTCCCCGTAGGTAACCCTTTAATCTTCGAAATATTCGGATGAAGGATTGTTCTCAGAAGTTGTCCTGATACTAACGTCTCTCTTACACTTTTGGTACGTCTAGCAGACTCACTACGTTACTGTAGGCTCAAATTCATGAGCCTAAAGAGAGGCGTTCATGGGTATGATAACTTGGGTGTGCGCACATGAAATATGTATGTTTACAGCATCAAAAGAGGAGGGACAGACATAAGAGTCGGCTTGGGAAAGATTGTCACGACACCGTCATCAATACAATGCCACTTGAAATAACAGGCCAATCCACTTCCGAATAGGTTTTTTATAACAGCGGAAGAGATCAGAGTGAGCAGGTTGTGTGCTTACTCCTTTACCAAGCGACTGTATCTTTATTTTGCTCTTGCACCATAACGGTACAACCACTCGCCAAAGAAGAACAGATGCGGCCTTGCTGCAGTGAACGGTGCTGAATTTGGAACGTCGTAAGACATGGCTGAAGTTGACACGATTCCTAGGGATAAGAGTATGGGGTCCCAAGGGAATTAGTCAGTAGGAAATCAATTAGGAGCCAACAACACTCGACGAGGCAACTAGCTAGAAATCGTCGTTTACTGTGAATTAATGGCCCATTTTATACACCCCTACTTCAAAGCTTGCTGTACCGTGATGCTGCCTGGTGCCCTGTAGATGACTTTTCGAAGCCAGCTAATTTAGCCATTGACTGTCTGTTTTTCTTCTTCTCACTCTCACGAGGAACAGGTGATCAAGAACTGGAGTATTGATTCCAAGCAATTATTAGTGAGCTGTTCTTGATCATTATGCTTGTTCAACACTTCCACATACACAATTGATATTACGTGATATGCTTCAATCAACAACCGCTATCTCGGTGGGAAGGTGCAGAGTGGAAGGAAAAATTTTGGCGCGCCAATTGAATCAACCACCACATACCTTCCACTCGGCCGAGAAGGCGTATTCATAGCACCTGCGTTTCTTTGCAAACTAGTGCGTCAGAATGAAGATAGACTAGTTTCACGCAGATATCTGGGTTAAGACTGTTTGTAAGAAGTGGTTACAGAACCGCTATACGCTATTGAGTTTGCTCGATTCATCCAAAAAGAGAGGCGGTCTTGTAACGACTCCTTGCAAAATATCCTAAAGCAGATATGTTCGTAAAAACGCAGATACAGGATAGCGTCCCCGTCTCTGTAACCTCGTAACTTGTATCCGGTCCGGAATTCAATATTTGCACAAAGTCGCTTAGTTTCATCCTTTCTGTTTTTTTTTTGAGATTTTTTAAATTTTTGAACTCTCTTCCGTTTCGATAATGAACAGCTGGACGAGGAGCCAATGCTCCTCATATCAAATGAAAGCAATTTTGCAAAAGGAAGGGAATGCACAACTCAAAATAATGCAAGGATAGCCTGAATTGCCGAGAAAGTGTATTAATTACCATGTGTAACATTATTCTTATTTTGAATGATCCCTTCTAGGCGCTTACCGTTGCGACTGTTTGTTTATTCTGCTTGTTGTCCCGCTTCCTTGCATTGAACTCATTCATAATTTTAAGATTTATAAATTCCATCTCAAACCATTTCAACTTGTGAAGTGAAAACTCATACCCCTGAATGTTGAGCATCGGATCAGCCCATAAAAGATCCATGGCAAGAGGGTTATTATTCGGTTCGTCCATGGGTCGTTGGATCTAAATATGTTCTTTACCAAGATCACTTAATCGTGTTTAGTCTTAATATATGAGGGGACATCAAGGCAAAAGTGTGTCTTCATTAGAACATAATACTTTTTTTATGATTTTTCGGTTTCTTTTCCGTAGATGTTGCTGCAATCACAAAACTGCGTTTACCTGCATTCACACCTGTTGCTATCACATGTACACTATTGCCGCGTATCTACGTCGATAGCTTAAAAATTTATTCTATCTTGTATGGATCAGTGTTATGTAACTTCTTTGCAGGGAGTGAATATGGATAAGAAACACTGAAGTAACCCGCTCAATTTTCTCACTGTCTCCATTTTGAGCTCAATGTCACTTTTCCCAAGTGAGATTTACAGCTATTTAGTTTCCTGCAACATGAAGGCGCATCTCAGAAGACGGTTTCCAAGTTTCGCTCTGGGATGAGTCTGTCTCTCCCCCCCCCCTTACGCTATATAGACCGTTGTAGGATCGACGAATCTACTGGATAGGGCGCAGTAAAAGCTCAATGTACCGACTGCCCACGTTGGACGAGGTTTGAAAGCAATGAGCTGACTCTACTTCGCGCTGGAGCAGTTTAGTTCAGAAATGGGTTACCTGCTCAACCTGCCCCGATCAAAATGTTATATTCGACACTGTTCCCCAATCTGCTGCTCTATCCCACTGCATCTTGTTTGAACTCAATTATTCTCTATATCCCTTGAATCAGTAAAGTGAGTTTATTTGGTTCTTCAAGTCATGCAATGTTTTTTTGCGCGTGATTTGTCTCGTTAAGTTTGATTAATCTCGTGAAATTTTTTTACTACTTTTTGTCCACTGTTTATTCAATCCAGTTTCATAGTGGAATTTTCTTTGTAGGTGTCCTTCCAAATTGGCAATCAGACCTCATGATGGTCGAGGTCGAGAAAGCCACTAACAATTCCGGAATCTTTAATGTTTTCATTTAGCCAAGTTTCAGTGATAAAACAAAATCCGGTTCCTGAACAGATAAGAAATGATGAAGATGNTGTAATTAATTCGTGAGGCTTCGTGCATTGAGAAGAAAACATCACAAGCTTGCGGTTGTTTGATGGCTGTTTGCCCGTTTCCCGAAATGCCCGAATCAAGGATGGCGAGGATTTGAGGTCATTAACATATTTCAATTAACCCTCCCCCCCACTCCACCCACATCTTGCGTCCCAAATCAGTGTTTCGCTTTTTGGCTGGCGAAGCTTTCTTCAGAAGTCATGCTCTTACGTACAAAGACGCCTGAGTAACTCGAAGAGCGAAGAAGGCGAGCGTTAGATAAGGCGTAATCCAGTGTGCAAGGGAAGGCAACAAAACTTTGACTAGGTGTGGACGTCGCTCGCTGAACTTCCCCATTCGGTAGGCTTCAACAGCCCTGCATTCTACCTTCAGAATGTCAAGCACGTCACAAATCTTGTTTTCCAATTCTCTATATTTTTCGGACGACTTCATGCTGGTATTCGACTCGAGCAGCCCCGAAATTACGATGCTCCGACTACGTTTTTCTTCCCTCACTGCATCAAACACTTCAACAGAAATTTTGTCCTTAAGTGCGATGAGCACCTCATTGATTACAGGATCAGTATTCCTAGCGACGATACATTTTAATAGGTCGGAAGCAGAAAAAGGCGAAAAGTTGACTATCTCGAGACTATCACCATCCAAATAGTATTTCCAATTTCACTGGAAGAATTCAATTGAGTTTTTGATGAGTAACGAGCAGCGCGAGGCAGCATCGAGGTGGATGATCAAGATCGGATCAATCAGAAAAGAAAAAAAGAAAGAAGAAAGAAGAAGAAGAAAAGGAGAAGCGGTAAACTTGCGTAAATTAAATATGATCACAGAAAAAGGAGGTTGTAATCGTATTGAAGGCGTTGATTCGTTTCGAATAAACAAATAAACAACCATTAATAAAACTTAACCACATTTTCGCATCCGCTAAAACAGAAGATAATGCTGGAAAATAGATGGAAATGGAAATAGATAATACAGGAGAATCGGGACTTTTACTTGTACCCCTATACATGGCAGCAGTGAAAATCATTCCTAGCTGTCTGTGGCCAGCTCTTCATGCTAGGACACACAAGGCACCGTTTCGTTTAATTCGCCAAAGTAGTCGCTTTAAGTCCCTTTTGTCTTCCTGATTTCGCAGTTTTTCTCTGCACTGGTGCGCTATTCTGCACACTTTCTTCCATTATGTGGGTTGAAATTGTTATTCCAAAGTCATCGTGAACTATGCTTTCAAATGTTTACTATCACAGTGGAAGCTATCCAGCAGTTTCGGAGGTACGTTTCACCGATAAGCTGAGTGCCTCTGACAACAAAAAGGAGGGGTGCCATATTTGTTTGTGCCTTCTATGACGCTACATGATATAGCAACGATGAATGCGACCACCCAACTTCGGAAACTCACTATGGCCTAGCATGAGTGCGTTGATGGAAAGATATCGTTCTAGCTAAATCTCAAACTTTACGTTCACCAAGCATGAGAAATCCCTTGTCGTTGAAGAGTTGTTGGAGAATCAAAATAGAGTTTCAAGTCTGTTTCATAAACTTTTATGCTTCAGGCATTTCAAAGGTTCGAAGCACACAAAGACGATCACTTGAAGCATGTTTGCTAGCGAGCATATATAATATCGCGGATGTTGAGCCGCGATTGCACGCGCCGCCTTATGATCTTCCCCATCAGCAGATCAAATATCGGTTTCTCGCCCAAAGCGTGGGTCTATATGGCGGCAACACTCCGCTCAGAGTACCATTCGACATCGCGCCTCTCCTCGATGAGCTTCGTTTCCATTCATCCATCGGAATCCCTCAGGAAGCTTCTTATTAATCATTTCCTCATATTCCTCTCTCGCGCCGCCTCATCTCAACGATTGAAGTTTTTCATATCATTTTAACGATTGATATTTCTCGCATCATCCTAACTGTTGGAGTTTCTTATGTCATTTTCGGTTGAAGTATTTTTGCATAATTTTTAACTGTCGGAGTTTCTTATATCATTCTTACGGTTTAGGTCTCTTGCATCACCATAACGGTAGAACTCCCTTGCATAATATAGGTATTGATTGTTTGACTGTTGATTGTTACTGTTGATTTCATGGTTTAATTACACCAAGTTTGAGGCGCAATAAGTTTGTCATATATTAGTCTCCTCTGTTTTTTTGACATTATGTTTTCTTTTTTCATTCTTTTCCTATCCTAACCTATCTCTAATTTCAATTATTCCTCATCAAATTAGACTATTACTCGTTTATTTGTTTATTGTTTTATAATGCTAAATAATTCTTGTATATACTTATCCTTTTCTTTCTTCACTTCGTCATTCAACTATTCTCTATAACTGATTATTTTTATAATTTCTTTTTGTTAAGTAATATTTCTTAATACACTCACTTATCCTAATGCATTTTTTATTCACACCACTAATCACTTATTTTAATTGTTTTTCACCTACCCCTTGTCACCAACGAGCCTCGGGGGTAGGTGAAAAGCGAAGTGATTCGTCTGATTTAGAGGCGAAACGAATCACTTACATTTAATTAATAAACAAATACTCACAAGACTTTTTAATTTTTCTTTTTTATTGTCTCGACAGTATCGTTGACGCGTAGCAGCAGTATCCGTGATTACGACGATTATATACCTCTACGCTTGCAACCACTTCATATAAGAAAGGAAAGTACAAAAAGCGTCTGATCGTAACCGTATTAATGGAATAACAGGAGTCCAGTGCCCTTCTCGGTCTTTAGAAAACGTCGGTAGTAGAGGTAACGCCTTATATAGCTGGGTCGAACTTGAGCAACGTTTTAAAGCGGGCATGGACCAATCAGGATTACCTTTCGAATATCTTCGAGTGAATTTAAGTAGGCTGATATCCCTCCATGCATGCAAAGGATTTTCTTGCCAACCAGTCCAGCCAAAGGTAACCAAGCAAACACTTCGTTGAAGCCAAACCATAATTTTTCAGCTTCTTCCTGGAACGGAATGCCTAACATGATGATCGAGGACTGAAATTATCTTGAAAATAACGAGCAACAAACTTTTTCAAATCGGTCAAGAACTTCGTCGTAAAATCCATATACACGATTGATACCTTTGCATTCGTGATTGCCCCGCAGTAGCTGATACTGTAAAAAGCGTTATTGTAGCTGTGCGTGGTTTGATTGATGGTCTTAGCTCGTTCAAGTGTGCTTCGTGCTCGACTAAAAATCGGACACGGTTCAAAAAGTGTGCATATGAACAGCAAGTAAAATGATGACTCTCAGAGATTAGGTCATGCATGTACATATTCAGTAACATTTCTGTTCGAGGTAGCTTGATCTTCAACCCAGATGGATAAGTGAATCTTAGCGTTAAGACTGATACTAGATAGCGACTAATTCTTTGAGACAAGCACGTGTTAGAAAATGAAGTGACAAGTCGAAGAGAGAAGGGACTTCACGTACAACTTTGTTTTGGAGTAATTTTCAGTAAAAGCTTCGCCACGTCGACGCTGAGCTCACCTTACGAGGAAACAATATCTTCAGGGTTAGTACGAGGCAAACACACTCAAGCGATCGACGGCCACGATCCACATAGTCGCCAAGAAATATGTACTGCAATTGTGGAATGTTGAGCAGATCCGCAAGATTACAGCGTACTTAGGACTCACTTTCACGCGCATGCTCCCATGTTGGTTTCCCTCGGAGAACTTGCTGAACATCCGCAATAAGTCGAAGTACTGAAAATGCAACATGCAGTGTTTTTTCTTACTCCTACCACTAACATCAGCTTATTGCTGTACGGGGATTTTGTTGTAGGTTGTCAATAAACCTCTAAAAGCATTTCTCCCAAAGATATCAAGGAGGCTTGCATAGAAACAACGACCTAAAAACGACATAGGATGTTTAAAGAGCATTCTTCAGAAGGCTGCATGGAGATGCATGTCCAAGACTTTAGGACGTTTATGATCGAAGTCTTTGTAGTACGTTCTCACATGTGCGCTTTTCAGCAATCTGTAAACTCTAGTCCAGAGGCAGATTTGAAGCATTAGCTTAGAGAGTTGCTGAAGTAGCCAAGCCATCAATTCCTTGGCCACATTTGCTTGAAGACTTGAAATAGCGAGTATCACTAATTATCGACCCCATTAACGGTATGAGTTGGGAACGTCAAACGCTAGCCTTATTCGCAGCTCACATACTCTGAAAGGTAGCAGTAAGCATAAAGTAAAGTACTGCTAGTGTTGGAAGCTTGACGATCACCAGGTGTTGCTTGATGAAGCTTCCTTGATTTGTTGTAACTTTTTGAAATTCTGGAGAGAAATCCGATTCCAATTTCAATCCATGAAACCGCAGCTCCACATCATATACGAGACACATCAAACTATCTCAGTTGGGCTATTCTAAGTCTTCTTCTTCTCCCTAGCGTTGATCCCGCGCTGTCGCAGGGTCCGCGCTGGGCTGTTCTAAGTATGCAATGGATAAAGTGCTTGCCCTATGAAACCAAGACCTTGCACACTAACTTTCTGTTCCATTCCTTCGACTTCCAATAAATTTCGAAGTAATGGAAACATATGATATTAGAGCCACTTTGATGGCCAGAAAGGAGTAAAGTCTGCTGATATGTTCGACTTCTGAAGATTACTCTTTAGAACAGTGCTCCTTCAGAAGAACCAGGTCATACCTGCGCCAACTAATCGCAGCAGGTAAACTTGGCAGGGATCTCTCTCTTGATGAATCACAATCGCTTTATAATTTACGTACAGTTTTTTGGTTGACTTCCCTACCAGGAACCGTTGCGACAATATGACACTACATACTGCACCACGATCTACTAGAAGTCGAGTATGTCGCTGCCTTGACATCACCTAAAGCCTGTGGTTCACTGGTTCTCTGGTCTTCTGAGCCGTCGCTTCTCCTTATCATTTCGTTCTCATAACCACACGCATGAACGGCGGACAGACCGGCACACCAATAGAATGGTGGACGAAGGACACGTAAAGGTTGTGATTCTTCACTATAGAATGATAGTGATTATCGTTCTTCAACAACACGGTAGGATACAGTTTGCTGCATCAACCGTTAGATGCGGTGTGTCTGTTGTCATGTGCTTTTTTGTAGCGCGAGTCAGTGCCAGCTTTGGAAGCATCGTAGAACTCTCGTAATATGCCAAAGTCAGCGATCACAAAGTAGCCTACTCACCTGGCCGTGAATATCTCCGACAATTACAATAGGCGGATTGATCTCGGCTAGAGTGCCTTCCATTTTTAGCAATTCCGTACTGCACCTTATAACATCCTTCAGTTCGTCGGCTGTGTACTTGATCTGAAAACAGCTGGAAGCAACACTGAGCTGAGCATGACATTAAAGAAGCTCTTCTTGTTGCTTCTTTCAGAATAATCTGTTGTCGTTCGGGAACTCTCTCTGGACAGTGGTCCCACTTCACGTCAATCCAAACAGAGTTAACTTACATGTCGATCGTTGAGCACGTTACTCATTTTGAGATGCCTTTTCAGAAACGCCGAGTAGTCCACGCCACCGCCATGACTGGAACGCATGACTGGTGGCCGTGAAACAACTGAAAATGCCTAACTAACCGCTGCTGCTACCCTTTATACCCATCTCAGGTTGCCCTTGCTACGGTTGACCGGTCGTTCCTTGATCCATTATCTCCCTAGATTGCTTGTACGAATCATCCTACAAAACATCTTACTGTATACGTATTGCACCACTTTCTGGGTGATTCTGTTGGTGTAAGTAAGGCAGTTTACGGTAGAATCGGTTTATGAGATTTCTCTCAAGGGTAAACCAGTGGCTCCCAATGATAGTTCATGGGGCATTGTCGGGCCGAAACACGGCCCAGACAGGGCGTAATAATAGCTTCGAAAGCGGCTTGGAAAATAGTACGCTTAGGTAGCAGGCACACAGAAGGGTATCTACGTTCACGCATTCAGGCAGAACCTGCGCTTATGCGTCCTCTTCTTCTTTTTGGAGAAAACATTTTATGCTATGAACTATGCGGTGAATACTATGAATGCACTCGGTGAATGGCAATTTTTGCCGTCTTTGACCTCCTTAGCCAGTTGTTTACGCTACTCTGGTAACCGGCATCTCGTCCGAATACCCCTTCCTTGTCGCTTCTGTCACAATCTCGCGCAACCTCTTTTTTGTTACTTTTCCAAAGACTCACCTCCCAAAAACCACCGATTTTCGCACATTCTTCGTCACCTTTGCATTGATCTGCCCATAACTTTTATTATATCACTTAAACAAGGTACCTCAGCTTCACGTGAACTGGGTTAGTGTTTAGAGAGAGGACGAGAAAAGTACAACAGTAAAAAGAGCTGATAGAATTCGTATAGGAGCAACAAAATTCTATTTCATCCTTCTCATACACTATAGTACTATGCACTGAGTGTCAGAGTCTCAGAAGGGATTCGGATTTCGCCACCAGGCTCATCAGTGTTCGTCCATATTTTTCAGTGCCGCTCTCCAGAAAATCGTGCGTCGTTTGGAATGGAAAGACCGTAGAGTGAACGTCAACGGCCGCTACTTACATATTGGCAGACGACGTCGTCCTTGCACACCAACATCGAGCAGGCGGAATGATTGGCGTCCGGATTTGACAATGCAGCGCTTCTGAAAAAGTTAGCTCGCGACTGATCCTTACGAGGACGATGTCGTGGAAAAGGATGGAAAAGGATCGCTGAGCGGAGCGATCCTTAATTGCTCTGGCTTCCTAGGGAAACCTAGGGTACCTAGGGAAAGCTACATGATGACCACAGTCTACATGACAATGAACGCAGATAAGTGTTGATTTCTTCATCCGAAAGATCAGTTCGCGAGAAACTACCCATATGCCTTCAGAGGTTGCAATCCATCGTATCAGGATTTCAACGAGTAAGAGGATGATCCAACATTTACTTTCCTGACGGTAAAGGCAGCTCAGAAGAACGCACCGTGAATAAACGCTTCGCTTTTTTCAAAGTATGAAAAGAGAAAGGTTTAGGGGAAAGCACTGGGATCGATTTACTGTCCATAGTGTACGTGACTGTAATTTTCTGGGAAAAATGCCTACGAACATCGAAAAAACGGTTGGGTCGTGCAGTTGCCAGAATTAGCCTTATTTTCTGACTGCAATAGAGCTTTCTTTTCTGTTATTATGCCATAGAGTCTAATGCCTTGCTGTAAAGACAGCATTTCATTGAGTGAATGATATTACACGGTAGTTTATCCAGAGAGAAGAGTATAACGTTAGGATAGCATGAATCAAACCAAGATTCAGGCTAGTGGAGAGGATCCACTAGTCTGAATTTTGGTTTTCTGGTCTATGGTGCGGTTTCCCAGTTCTGTTTGGGAATGATTTCTCTCATTAGTAGAGCATCCCTTTAAGAATCAATCATCTACTGAAACACAGATGAATCGATACTTATTGGTCTATGTAACAGGTAGAGGCGGATGTGTAGTCTAGTGACAAGTGGCGCCGTTACCACCCCCTAGTCCACTAATCTACTTCCTGGTCGATACCTGTCGGGATTATCCAAGTCTTTCGCCCCAACGGGACTGCCTAATCAGTACCAGACCTGTCTGGAAAGTTGAAAGTATTGGATTTTATGCATATCGGCTCGTGTGCCCGAGTCATGTCCAGAACAAATACTGTTATGTACTGCTTTGAATAGAAATCGAGTGTGAGAACGTTCTCTACGCTACACATCATTACAGGATATTGCTAATCCTGAAATTTTATCGTTTACATTGATTATTACTCACAGATATTTAGGTTGAATGTAAGTCATGTAAACAAGTATTTCAGCAGTTAACTGAAATTCCGACCCCGAGTGGAACGGGTGGTGTAGTGGTAAATGTCGCACTAACATATGCATGGTCACGGGTTTGAATCCCGCAATTCCGGACCGGCATCCGCCCACGCCAGTCGGGTCTCCCACCTTTCCGGGGTCGGTTAATTGGTATCAGATTTGTCTGAGAGGATAAAACCACTGCCTTCTCCATCGGCTGGCCACCGCAAGTCATTGTATAGGCCTCATACGCATTCAACACACCATTACAATTTTGAATGGAAGTCGTGCGGGGCGTACTCTCAGACCGTCATTGATCACGCACCAGAGA